GCAGATGCTTTTAAGCAATTTTGTACTTCCTCACTCAGGTAATTGAACAGGATGTCATTAGGATCTGTGGTTCTGATAAAGGATGGCATGTCCTTGAGCCGAATGTTTCTCATGCCAGGGATCCAATCTATAGTTGCGTCAAGAGAGCCATCTCTTTGGAAACTCTCATCTGGAACACTCAAGGCCATAATTACATTCTTTTTTCACTTTAATTCCAAAAAATTGAAGCAATAATATTCAAACAATTATATAGATATATATATTCCATGCATGGTAAATCAATAAAATAAATAATCAAGTCATGCAAATCTTCTTGGGCATAGCATAATGTGATTTAGAGTATATATAAAAGCATTAATAAACAAAGAGCATTGTCATTCTGGCCTAAAAGTTAGACCTATAATCAGAGATATGTCAAGAAGATGATTAGTGATCACTAATCATCTTCTTAACACATCACTGGGTCTAAAAAGTGAGTCTAAAAAGTAGACTTTTATATCATTTTCCATAAAGAAAGAGAAGCACACCTACTCACTAATCAGTCAGAAAAAGTAATCAATCTCAATTACACATTAATTTATTTTTTTTGTAAACTTTTAGATATTATTGTACGGGAAGTGACATATTTTTAATTAAAAGTCGTCTATATATTTACCAATTTTGTTTTTATAGTACTTGTATTATCTATACTATTATATTAAAAAAATTCTACAAAAAGGTACATAAGACCATAAGTTTAAGGTAATTTTACCACTTAGACAACATATGTATTATAATGATAATTTCACTAACATATATTTTAATTCTTATTTATTTAAATTACACATAATTCTTTGAAAATTAAGGAGAAAATAAGGTTTGTGATAAAATTAGAAACCATTGGAAGGGAAGATTGGCATAAGAATTAAATATAACAACAATGCTTGGTAATCCAAATTTTTATAGTTTGAATGTCTCAAAACGACAAAACGACGTCATTTTGAGATAAAACGACGTCGTTTTGATGCATTCGAATCATTCGGACCACAAATTCGAGTTACCAAGCAATTCCTTAAATATAATGAGTATTTTGAAGAAGAGGAAGTAAGTAATACCTTTGAATGGGAAAATGCCTCTTTGGACAAGTTGAGGAAAGTGAAGGTAGGCCATGAAGCCACAAGCCGATGCAGTCCAAAATTGCACCTCTGGAATCCCAGCTTCTTCTGCGGCTTTCATGGCAAAGTTCATAATTCCATCAGATACTACGCACGTAACAGCTGGCACTTGCCGCGATGCAATCGAGTTGTTGTTGTTGTTGAGCTTTTTTAATAAAACTCGAAAGGGATCCAAACAGTTGTCTCGAATTGCGATGCAGAGGGTCGGAGGATCTTGAGTGGCATCACGATCGGACGGTGGCAGCCCATCCGGTATAGTCTCAAACTGGAAATCAGCAAAGCCCTTTAGAAATTCAGGACCTTTGGATTGAAGCAAGCGTCTGTGGTTGAACTCGGTGTTGACGAAGGTGATGTAGAAGCCTCTAGAGTGTAGAAGCTTGGCCAGTTGCATCATTGGGTTTATGTGACCTTGTGCTGGAAATGGTACACAAACTGCATGGGGCTGCTTTCTGCTACCCATAATAACTAATATCAGCAATGCCAATTCAAACTGTAAAGTTAGTCTGTTTGTATAGAGCTAGAGGTCACTTAATTTAAGCATGTATGCATGGTGTATTTATTTATTAAGGATGCCAATTGAAAATGAATATCTTATATTCATCCATTGATATATCAATTAGTATACTAATAGATAGTGTGACATAATTTTAAAAATTTTAAATTTTTTTAATTTGTATAATGGGCGAGATCATAATTTTAAAATAATAATATCATAACATATATTGATACATTAATGCTGTGTTTTGTTAGAAAATTTAAGAAAAAATTTAAAAAAAATTAAAATAAATAAATAAAATATAAATAATATATCTATATTTTACTTAATTTTACACACATTTTTTTTCCCTTTTCAAATGTCTCCCAAGTCCAAATTCCACACCTACCACAACTAAACACCGCGTAATTGGTGCGTATTGTACACCGATTAAAAATTGACGCGCGCGTGTTTTGACTGGAAAACTATTGATCAAATAAAGACACAAAAGCAGTTTCGTGTACCAATTAGAATTGGTCAAATAAACCAAGCCAAACTTCTGTTAACCAACTGCAATGTTGTCAAATTGCTGTAAATTTTAATTCGGTAATACTATAAATTTAGACTTATGTATTTAGAATTTATTTAAAAAAAATAATTAATAATTCAAATTTAATTTATTCATAAATTTCACACTTTTATCTAGGGGTGGGGCGGGTCGGTTGCGGACACGGAACCTCTAATCCGCCAAATTTAGACTTATGTATTTAGAATTTATTTAAAAATAATAATTAATAATTCAAATTTAATTTATTCATAAATTTCACACTTTTATCTAGGGGTGGGAGCGGGTCGGTTGCGGACACGAAACCTCTAATCCGCCATCCGTCCGGCAGATTGGCAGATTAGAGAAAATTAATCCGCATCCGTCCGCCAATCCGGCGGATGTGGATTGAGCGGATTGGCAGTTTGGCGGATAGATGCGAGTCGGTTTGGTGGTTTAAAATTTTATAAATTTTCAACATAATTCAACTTGTGTACTTCCTAAAAAAAAAAAAAAAATATTACAGTCAATGATTTAAAAAAATATTGCAATCACTGCATGCCTCATTCAAAGTAAGAAAGTTTGAAACTTTAAAATATCACAATCACTGCATGCCTCGTCTACATACTACAATCACCGCATGCCTAACCTACATAAAGTATTTCAATCTGTGATTCTTAAAATATAAAAAAAATTCAAACCACCAAAATCATGAACAGAGCAGTTATAGAGATTGTATGTCTCTGTATTGTTACATCTATATCTATTTTTGAAAATAAAAACCAACCAGCATATATCATATTTTCTATTTATTATTTTTAGAAATAGATTTAAAAATTAAAAAATATAAATAAATAATACGTTTATTTTTTTCAATTCAAAAAAGATATTCAAGTTAAAAACTTTTTTTCAACAGAACATTTAAATTCTTTTTTAATTGAAAAAACAAACAGAATATTTAAACAAACTGAAAACATAATGTCTTATAAATTACTAGGGGTGCTCGTAGTTTGGCGATTCGGTTGCGGCCAAAGGAATCTTAAATCCGCCATCTGTCTGCCAAATTAGCAGATTGGAGAAAATCAATCTACAACCGTCCGCTCGTCATCACGCATCCGTCCAAAATACGGCGAATCGGTTCGGTTCTGTTGGCTACACATTTTGTACTAAGCTAGTGACAATCCGACGCGTGGCGAAGTGAGGGTAATATGGGGAGACCAGGTAGGTCTTCGATCTTGATCATACACGTGGCAATTAATGTTGGTGGTTATAAGATCTGAGTAGTAGCAGATCAACAAAGAGACGTACAGTGACGTGGCTTCAACGGTTGCTCGCATTTTAAATTCGAATATAAGGGGGAAGCCTAACTGCAAGTGAAGGCGTAGTGGAACTACTTATAAGATAGCATGATCAGCAACTACGGAGGAGCAGTTCGACGGTTTGAAGTACAATTCGATGGTTATCTTCGGAGAGTATAAATAGCAGGAAGGACTTCAGAGAAGGGGACGGAGAAAAATCTAAAGAATCACTTTACATATTCCAGTGTTATTTCCTGTCCTTTATATTCCTGTATTTTAAGTTTCTGCGCTGCACTTCATTTGTAGGAGTAGTTGTCGAGTATATTGCCGCTGTAATTCTCTACGGAACTGAGATCATTGTAAGTTCTTTTTATACTAATGAAATACTCCAGTTTAGTTAACTGTTCTTATGTTCAAATTTTCTGAAGTTAAATTACCAGTAAGCCACCAGTAAAAGTCCTCTTTATTGAGGCCGAAAGAACCATAACACAATCGTCTGAATAATTGTTTGGCAATTCTGTAAGGACTGATTGATCCTTGCTGGCACGCTCATAATTACGAAAGTAACCTTCGAAAGCCAAAAAACCCAACAACATTATGAAATATTAATAAAATAGAAAGTTATTAAAATAATTTTCCTAAAATTAGAGGTCACCCCTTCCCTTTATACATTATACAAATATACACGAAATATAGAGGTAATGTTAATTTAAAATGTTGGAGGGAACCATGGCCCCCTGCAGTCTCTGTGCAGGTTCACCACTAGTGTTGGAAGATAATGTAAACCGTGTCTGAAAACAATTAAAATGGTGTATTGTTTTAACGAGTGTTTTAGAACATTGTTTAATATTGGAATTTAAGAAAAAAGTGTATTGAAAACAGGAGAGAAAAAAAAAAGAATAAAATATATAATAATATTAAGGAAAATTGTATTTTGATTTGAATGAAACTCTATTAAATTTAATGTATACTGATTTAAATTCAAATAAAATGCCTTGTGTTATTCTTTTTTATTTATTTTATTTTTTTATGTGTCAAATACCTTACATGAGTGTTAAGTGTTTTAAGACTTTTGCAAGACAGTATGCCTAGTTTGGAAATGGCAGATTCAATTCTTCAATTTTGATTTTGCCTTTCTTTGGATAAATTTTTCTAGCCTAGCTAAAAAAATTGTGTTTGGGTTGATGATAGACCTTTTTTGTGGTTAATTTGATAGTTGTAAAAAAAAAAAAAAAATGAAATGATTATAATTTGAATATGACATTTGTCTTATTGACTAAAATAAATAACTTATTTTGTCTTTATTGGCTAATTTAGCTCTCAACCCATTTAGTGAGTACTTCTAATTATTTTTTTATTTGTTTAATCATCTTTTAGTTTAAAGCCAAGTCAAAATAATAAAAGGGAGAATTACTAAACAGTTTGATAGAAAAAAAAAAGAGATTTTTATTGATAAATCCATTCTAGAGTTGTTATAACCCATTAGGTCCACTAAAAAATATTATAACGTAATTAGTCCCATAAATTTTTCTGGATATTCCATAAGGTCCATTTTTCTAATTTAATATAATTTGTTGGACTATTTTGCCCCTATATATATATATGTACAGTGTTAATACGTAAAAGGTGCCTGTTTCTTCGTTCATGCAGTTTGGCAGTTTCTATTTTACGCTTTTCATCATCAATCCAATTCCGAGAGATACGTTTATGTTTTGCATGCTCGTTGCAAGGTTTGGTTGTGCCAGGGTTTCGTCCTTGCTGTTGGAGTCTGGTTCTGTGGTTTGCGTGTGAAGACGACGAAGAGGAGTGTGTTCGGTTGTTACATTTGCCGGATTATAACTAGTTCAAATCAGTTTTTTTCAACTTTCTGTACGATTGTAGGATTGGATGATCAAGGTTAGTATCAATTTGGTTATGAATACATGTTCAGTTTATGGTTTCATTCGTATAATGGATCAGATGCTCTGTTTTTGGATTTATATGGATTGAATGCTCTGTTTTTTTAATTATATGCATTTTACGTGGTTATGTGGAGGGGAGTTCATTCGTATTATGTGAAGAATGTGTAGTTCTCATTTGACTTCGATGCATGCGTAATGAGGCTCGGTGTGGATGATTTGATTATCAGTATATATATCAATGTCAATCTGCACATTTTGTGAATGGGGAATATGTGAAGAATGTGGATGTTCTCATTTTAAATTGATGTTTGCTTAATGAGGCTCTGTGAAGATTGTTAATAATTATGTGAAGATTGTTAATGTTCTCATTTTACTTTGATGCTTGCTTAATGTTAACATCTTGTTAATATCAATGTGAAAGTTTACATCCTCATAAACTGATGTGAATGTTCACATCATTATATTATGTGAAGATTGTTGATGTTGTCATTGGACTTTGATGTTTGCTTAATGTTGACATCTTGTTAATAGTAATGTGAATGTTCACATCTTCATATTGTGAATTATGGATTTAGCAGTTGAAATGTACACGTAGTCATCTATTTTTTGCACAATGTGAATTTTCATATCGATTTTCATTACTGTTCATTGTTGTGTTTTTGTGTTTTTACAGGAGATGGATACCTTTATGCTATTGGTGTGTACATATGGTTGTAGTACAACTGTAATAAATGTTGCCCGCGCAATGTGTTATTCTCGTTTGGTGGAGTGTTTGTGTGAGAAATGGGATGAGTTGTCTGCTGGTTCTATTTCATTGTTCTGTAAACTACCTGGGATTAATAAGTGTCATTTGGACAATGAGGAAGAATTTCAGAACATGGTACTGCTTGCTAAATCAATGAGGGTACAACATGTAGAAGTTGTGGTTGAGTTGAAGGGTGATATTGGTCAGTCAAGTAGTTTGGGATTGCTGCGTGTGGGGGTTGAGGATGAAATTGATGCACTACGGAGATTTTGCCACCATAAGGAGAAGGTGTTGTTGTCAGCCCCTTGGGCAAATGGTATTACGCATATAGGACAACGGTTTGTTGGAGGTGCACAAGAATTTCGTGACGTTTTATGTAAGTATGCCATCCAATGTGGGTTTAAGTTCACATACGTGAAGAACGAGACAACAAGAGTTACTGCTGTGTGTGCGATGCGGGAGAAGAGGGGGTGTTTGTGGGCTATACATTGTAGAGCACAACGAGCAAATGATTTTTTCTACATCAAGAGGTTTAGTGATGTGCATACTTGTGGTACGGATGTTCGAACATCGAAGAATCCGCGAGTTAGTTCGGATTTGGTGTCGAGTACCATATCTGAAATTGTGAGGGACAAGCCGTTGACTCGGCCGTGTGAAGTGGTGACTATTTTGAAGAGGGATTATGGGCTAGATGTGAGTTACCATGTCGTATGGTTGGGTGTGGAGAAAGCAAAGGCTGGTATCCATGGAGATCACTCGTTATCGTTTGACCAGTTGCGGTGGTATTCGGATGCTGTGATGCGGTACAATCCGGGGAGTTATGTCAATATTGACTATGATGCGAGTAGTCAACAGTTTTGTCGCTTCTTTGTGTCATTCGCTGCGTGTATTTCTGGGTTCAATGCTTGTCGGCCTTTATTATTCCTGGATGGAACATTCCTCAAAGGAAAGTACAAAGGTCAGCTACTTGCGGCAACGGCGAAAGACGGGAACAATGGTTAGAAGTTTTTTTTACCTGTCTATTCATGTCAATATTCGCTCTGAGCAGCGTAGTCTGGACGAAAGAGTGATTGCTAAATTATAAGTAATGTGAACATTCACATCAGTCTGTAATAAGTCTGATGTGAACATTCACATCAGTCTGTAATAAGTCTGATGTGAACATTCACATCAGTCTGTAATAAGTCTGATGTGAACATTCACATCAGTCTGTAATAAGTCTGATGTGAACATTCACATCAGTCTGTAATAAGTCTGATGTGAACATTCACATCAGTCTGTAATAAGTCTGATGTGAACATTCACATCAGTCTGTAATAAGTCTGATGTGAACATTCACATCAGTCTGTAATAAGTCTGATGTGAACATTCACATCAGTCTGTAATAAGTCTGATGTGAACATTCACATCAGTCTGTAATAAGTCTGATGTGAACATTCACATCAGTCTGTAATAAGTCTGATGTGAACATTCACATCAGTCTGTAATAAGTCTGATGTGAACATTCACATCAGTCTGTAATAAGTCTGATGTGAACATTCACATCAGTCTGTAATAAGTCTGATGTGAACATTCACATCAGTCTGTAATAAGTCTGATGTGAACATTCACATCAGTCTGTAATAAGTCTGATGTGAACATTCACATCAGTCTGTAATAAGTCTGATGTGAACATTCACATCAGTCTGTAATAAGTCTGATGTGAACATTCACATCAGTCTGTAATAAGTCTGATGTGAACATTCACATCAGTCTGTAATAAGTCTGATGTGAACATTCACATCAGTCTGTAATAAGTCTGATGTGAACATTCACATCAGTCTGTAATAAGTCTGATGTGAACATTCACATCAGTCTGTAATAAGTCTGATGTGAACATTCACATCAGTCTGTAATAAGTCTGATGTGAACATTCACATCAGTCTGTAATAAGTCTGATGTGAACATTCACATCAGTCTGTAATAAGTCTGATGTGAACATTCACATCAGTCTGTAATAAGTCTGATGTGAACATTCACATCAGTCTGATGTTAACATTTCTGTCATTAGCATACAAAGATGTGAACATTCACATCAGTCTGTAATAAGTCTGATGTGAACATTCACATCAGTCTGTAATAAGTCTGATGTGAACATTCACATCAGTCTGTAATAAGTCTGATGTGAACATTCACATCAGTCTGTAATAAGTCTGATGTGAACATTCACATCAGTCTGTAATAAGTCTGATGTGAACATTCACATCAGTCTGTAATAAGTCTGATGTGAACATTCACATCAGTCTGTAATAAGTCTGATGTGAACATTCACATCAGTGCATACTAATGTCACTGATGTGAATGTTCACATCAGACTTATTACAGACTTATGTGAATGTTGACATCAGTGTATACTAATGTTAGTTGATCTATTAATGAACAGTACTGTGAATGTTAACATTTTCAGTGACTCAACAAGCAACAATGAATTATTAATGGTCGTTAATGTGAATGTTCACATCGTTGATGTTTACGAACCTGAATCCGAAAATAGAAATAGTAAAGAGGGCAATGTACATATGAACATTCACATGACCTGTTTCGTTTATACTATTTTTCTATTCACTTTGGAATATTGTGAACAGTTGTGTATTGGTGTTATGTTGTAGGTCTGTTTCCTGTTGCATTTGCAATTGTTGATTCGGAGACCACGGCTAATTGGTCGTGGTTCTTGCATGAACTTGGGAAGGTTGTTGATGGGAAGCGCCATATTACTTTTATTTCGGATCGTAATCTTGGTCTGTTAGAAGCTATGCCAAAGGTGTTCCCATCGGCTCATCACGGTTATTGCTTACAACACTTGAAGAGCAATTTAAGAGACAGGATGAAAGGAATTGATAATGGATTCAGGGATCACCTAGTAAGGAGTTTGGGTGACTGTGCCTACGAGCCAACTGTGGTAGGGTTCCATGAAAAGCTTGCAAAATTAAAAGAGGAGGGTAAACAACGAGCTCATAATTTTTTCAAGGACTTACCACCTGAGCACTGGGCAAATTCATACTTCAGGTAATAACAGTTTCCTAAGGTGTTCCATTTTTGAAGTTTAGAATGGTAGTGATGTGAATTTTCAGTTTATAATGGTGACAATCTTCGAATTGTGTTTCATCTTCAATGTAAATGATGTGAATGTTCACATCTGCTAATGATGACTGATGTCATGTTCACATCTGCTAATTTGTCAAATAGTCATGCAATGTATTACAGATTTGAATGTTGACACGTGTCATATTTTATTATTGTTGTTAACATTCACATCTGTCTATCATTTAAGTTGACAACGTAATAACCATGTAATGTGAACATTCACATTATTAAAACCTGGTAGCAGATGTGAACATTCACATTATTAAAACCTGGTAGCAGATGTGAACATTCACATTATTAAAACCTGGTAGCAGATGTGAACATTCACATTATTAAAACCTGGTAGCAGATGTGAACATTCACATTATTAAAACCTGGTAGCAGATGTGAACATTCACATTATTAAAACCTGGTAGCAGATGTGAACATTCACATTATTAAAACCTGGTAGCAGATGTGAACATTCACAT